GAGGCTAGTATACCTGGGGATACAAGTGGGAGGTTTGGGGTATTCATGTAATATAAGTTGCATGAAGGAATGCAAGCCGGCAGAAATTGAGCGGTGCAAACCCGTGATAAGTCCCCTTTCCAACATGTGATACTAATGCTTCTCATGTGGGACTAGCGGCGGTAGCAGATACCTGGCTTGAGAAATGTGGACGAAAGGCCACCTATAAGAAGGGGTATACCAGTTTAAAAATACCTCGAATAACAGGCATACCAAATTGGGAGGCCATTAGGGACCGATTACCCGAATGAACCAATTTGGGAGTTACCAAGGTTTGACGGTGAGACATGGGGTGGATGCGGTGGGTAACTAGATATAGTTTAAACATCAAATCCAGGTATAACCCAATATGTAGTGGGATCGTAGCATACTCTGGTAGGTTTAGGTCATAGATAAAATTGTCTAAGCTTAGTATTCTTAAAGATTATATGTAGCCATATAAGGCGAAATTTAACATCTAATAAAGATACGAGGCAAGACCTCACCTTAACACTGAAAAAAAAAAAAAGTAAACTATATATCTTTTTCGAGCTTGCGAGAAAAAATGTGGTAGAAACGAAATTTTTTGCATGACTATCCCTAAGAAGACTATATTATTAAAAGACAGCTAGATTGCATATTTTTGCAGAACAAACGAACTGCTATCGCCAAAGCACTGAGCCCTCTGCTTTGTTGAAGCAAGAAGATTGTGCACATGTTCAATCACACAACTCGCCGAAGCAAACTCGTGTCAAGTAGCTATAGAAGTCGTCTTATCAACACAAAAACAATCTAACGAGAAAAAGAGATGCAATGTTCAGGCAAGTTAAAACAATAAAATTTATAGTTAAAAAATATAGGAAAAGGGATTTATATAAGTGGGGAACTATGCTCCATGCATGTTAATTAATCTCCTATATAGTTCGTTATATTTAGTTTTGAGCTGTATATTATTGCCTAGAAAAGGATAATCAGGATATTAATTATGCAGTAGTTCGGTGCTCTGCATCTTCGAGGGGTACTATAAATATTCATACAATATACAAATCATGTCTCGGCAATAATTTTTCAAAATTTTTGATGATTGATCTCACTATAGTACTTATTCATCACATGAGCATAGTAGTATTGATTGATTTTGGTTATTTACTTATAATAATACATTAAGTAATGCAGTGCAGAAATATAAATAGAAAATAGCGATAAGGAAATAAGACTTCTTAAGCGTACTTTAATAAAAAAGACACATATACAAATATCACACATGAAATATAACTACTATAAATCTGGAAGCAGATCTTCTGCCTTTAACCCTTGTCGAGTATATGCTAAATCTAGAGAAACGTCGATTATTAATAACTATATTTTTTGTCTATATATAATGTAGCATCATAAACAATTCATATCTATATATCCTCGTCTCCGATCAGATACAGCGGAAGGGACCTGTATTTGTTTTGCTTTCGGTTAGGAAAGATGGGTCTGGTGGTTCAAACCCTAAGCATTATTGAGATCTTGCTCAGAAACCATTGGTCTATTAGCACCTTTCTTAATTCTAGCCTTAATATAAGCTTTAGTAAAATCCTATAAATGGTAGAAAAATGTGCTATGTACAAAATAAATGACACTATGCCAGATCCCTCTAGTAACTGAAAAATTACCATGAAGTAATAAACGTGAGGCAAATACTACGATTTGTCCTGGCCTAAGATGTATGACTATTTGGAACTGAGGAAAACATAACTCTCCTCCTTCGTAATCTTCTAGTACAACTAAGACACATAAACTATTTGCCTTATCATGCTCATCCCAATGATAGTCACTAGTGGTATTAAAATTAATAGCTATCATTAGGAAAACTCCAAAAGGCTTCGGTGCAAATGAACCCCATGATAGCCTGCTCAATTTCGTATATAAATCTTTATAATAGTCTCAGAGGAACCGGTTGATACAGTCCGATAATGCCTTGAGACCTTGAAGTAATTTGTTGATGCATTCATAGTGATCAATGTTATGCGTACTTGCAGTATTGAAGCTTGTAAAAGGGAGCAAGTTGTTTCTGGTATAAGCCCTGAAATGTTTGATAAAATTGGTCCAAAATTCATCGCTTCGATATGATAGATGCTCCAATGTATGAAAATAATAATTATTTACAGCATTAGTTGCAAGTATAATGGCATTGTAGTCATTGAGTTGCTCTAAGTGAACTAATGTTCGGCTACTTAGATCTGTAATACACTCTGGTTCTGCTATATATTTGAATTGGACTAATTCACTTATCGATTGGGATTATGACGTGCTGATATGATCAGACATGCCTTTTCTCTTCAAGTATTAAAAGCGGTAGCTGTGTCAAAAAGATCTTGAAAGTCTCTATCACTTTGGATATTATAAACATACTGGAGTTTTTTTCATAACAACCTAAGGTGCTATCATATGTGCTTTCTTTTTAATAGACTATCCTGCCCCTTTAAGCCTAGCCACTAGCCGAAAGCAACCCACAATCGCTTATTAGTGGTATTAGACAATGATCTCTCAATGCCGACATCGGTCTTTCTAATAATGTCAGTATAGATTAGAGAGAGAAAGTTTGACAGAATCTCGGGCAACTCAAAAGAGTTACTGTCAGAGAATTTTGCTTCTCTAATTAGAGTTTTAATTAGCAATTCTCTGGACAATATGTCATACCAAGTCTTATTTTTTTGGTTGATACCCGATCTGAAGAGCAGAGGGGAATACTTGTCCACTCCCTCTCCAAATAATAAATATTATCATTAGCGGATATTTTTCAGGTGGCGGATTGGATTCGATACCGAGATGGATCGAAGATGATATCATTGATTAGCAAAGGGATATCAACATCCAACTCGTGAAGCATCTCGGCTTGTTTTTGATTACACCTAAGTTTTTTGTTTTTGTGTGTACGGGTTTGTCTCGACAATTTGGTTTCAGTAGGCTGTGCATTCTGTGTTACAACATTCTCCTCTTTTCGCTTATTAGTTGATGCTTGCATTATGACTTTCAAAAAAAGAAAATATGTTATTAGTATGAATTTGATTTAATGAATTCTCGCACTAAAAAAAAGAGAGGACTTATATCTTTTTTTTTGTATATGATTCAATATACGGTGATTTGTGAGTTACTATACTTTGCACCGTAGTAATTCGACACAACAATAATTAATTGCATGTCACTATATTAGGTACTGTAATGGATTGATACTATTTTAGCATTGTAATTAATTCAACACCGCCCAGTTCTACAAATTTAGATAGGCAGGGGGCCATGAATAAACATATACCCATATAGATAAATTTAGGTTGTGGAACGAGTTGGATTCAAGAAAAACCTGTAAATATATATATGCATTATTTAAGGTGAAGTAGGGTATTCTGGCACGGGAGGTAATGTGTCACACTAAAGTTTTTTTAAAATATCTCAGGATACAGTAATCAGAATAGAATAATTTTTATATCATTCAACTCATCTTATCAAGATGAATCGAATGATACACAAATCGCTTTAATTGGAACTCTTGGCTACAAGAAACAAGCAACAGTGATAAAAAACTTATAAAAATTAACAAATGTATATTCAACACACCCAGCATGCTCCTTGACGATCAGGCCTAATTAAGCAATTTATTAATTATACTATATACATAATTTTAATTTCTTGACGATATATTTACGTCAAGAAGATGAAAATTTTTTCTATACAAGCTCAACTCCTTTTCACTACGAGAATCATGACAATCATTATAAAAATCTTGAAAACTAGACCTATATTTTTCTTCTATGCAAAACAAATCCACAAATTTGCACATTTTCAGACCTTTAAGAGTAGCACAATATTTATATTCCCGATTAAACATACCACCGTCACCCTCAGTCTTGCATAATCTTTTGAATATTAATAAAATATAATCTATTTTTGCAAGATATTTGTAGTTATATACGATATTCTTAAAAAAAATCACAAACTGTTTTATTTTGTTTAATTTTCGATCATTCCTGTGATAATTCTCCATCGACTTAATCATTTCATCGGTAACTATTAATTTTAAAAAATAGGTTACGACACCAATAAGTCATTCATAAAGAATCAGAAGAATATACTTCATCTGATCTTTGAATTCTGCGGTATCATAGGCATGGTTCATTAAATTATCGCGAAGAATTGAGACTGAGTTTATTTCTTCGAATTGTGGATCAAGAGAGTATTCCATTTTTTAATATATAAAAGCTTTGAATTATTATTCTTTGTAATCAATAAACAAAATTTACTTGTTTATAA